TAAGAAAAAGTAGAAATTGTATCAAGAATCGAGTAAATTTTTTGTGATAATAGTGTACCTTTTATTTTCCGGAGGAACTCTCAGGATCTCGAGGACGTTTTCAAGAAAACTGTCCAACGATTCTAATTCTATGAAAAGTGTCAATGACGTAGAAACAATTTACATAACGTGACATCTTGATTCATGAGTGTCTAAGAAAAAGTAGAAATTGTATCAAGAATTGAGTAAATTTTTTGTGATAATAGTGTACCTTTTATTTTCTGGAGGAAATGTCAGGGTTTCGAGGACGTTTTCACGAAAACGATCCAACGATTCTAATTCTATGGAAAGTGTCAATGATGTAGAAAGAATTTACATAACGTGACATCTTGATTCATGAGTGTCTAAGAAAAAGTAGAAATTGTATCAAGAATTGAGTAAATTTTTTGTCATAATAAATAGTGTACCTTTTATCTTCTGGAAGAAATGTCAGGGTTTCGAGGACATTTTCACGAAAACGGACCAACGATGTTAATTCTATGAAAAATGTCGCGACTCAGAAAGGATTTACATAACGTGGCATGTTGATTTAAAAAAACAGAAATTGTATTAAGAATAGAGTAAATTTGTTTCAAAATAAATAGCGTATTTGGTTCTTCGAGAATTCTAAAGCGAGCATTAAATACTTCGATGGAGTGTCATAAAGGATACAAAAATCGTTTATGCACGTAACACAGAGGTAAATGTAATGGAGAAAAATATCTAAGAAAGAAGAAAAAGTGAGGGTTTTATTGCCTGTTCTATTCAAAGATTGATGACATCGCACGATGGATCTCTGGATCCATTTTTTCTCCTCTCCCACATACTTGCAAATAAAAGACAGTATAAAATCTTCGTATATTTAAACGATAACAAATTTCACTGAGTTGCCTTTTTCATTTAATAGCATAGAGAGAAATTGATAGATTTTGCTGAAGTTTTGATGTTTTGCACCGACGTTCTCTATCTACTAGTAGAATAGACAATGAGAAATTTGTTTGCTAATTCACGTAATACTTTACTTATTGTACTCAATCATCTTTTATCTTCGTAATAACCATCTAGTTTCAATAGATAGCAGCCTCTGCATTTAACCAAACGTCGCCCATATTTTTACGACCAAAATTTCAATCTTATATACTAAACTACTTTTAAAACTCTATCTTACTTTTTGATGTTACGCACATATATTCAAGTTTGTGCCAAGTCTACGAAGTCAGAGATCACTCATGTTACAAATTTCACCTGCGTTCCATCGACACAAGAGAAATAGTGTGTTTAGTTCGCATCAAAACGATATTTACGTTTTGTTACATATACATCACCAGACTGCGGATGTTTATGCAAATATCTTTAAATACTAACTCACAGGTGCTAGAATCAAATATAAATTTGTTCCCTGTATTAAAGCCTTAATCAGGTTCCAAATAAAATAAAACTGTAAAATTGCATTTCAGGCAATCGAACACTCTATACACGCATAAAATTCCCTGTCTACACGTCACACAGTTTTACTCACGTCTCACTTACTTTCTCTTCTTCCCTTCTTTGTTTCCTTTCAACAACTTCAGGGCTAACCCGTGGGGGATTCAAAAATGTCTTGTTTCCCTCCACCAGTACCAGCCGTGTCTGCACAAACTTCACACCGTCCCAAGAGTTAACTTTATACTCAATAAATATTGATACAGCTACCCGCAAAATAGTCAATCCCCTTGTCAGCATAAGATCCCCAGTTTGTTTCGTCTTCCCCCCTTAACTTTCAACCGTACCTAACTTCCGACGGAAACAGGTACTCTGTCATAAATAAACAAAGAAAGTTGAGCAAAAACCGTCATCCAGCCAAATCGAGGTAGTACCATAGACTTCAATTTTTTTTTTAAAATGGAAAGTTATGGTTTTTTACGTATTATCTAGTAGAGCCTTTTAACCCCTTTTCTTATAAATATTATTCGATTTTCTTCGAGTCGAAGTGAAATGCCACGTTGCTGACATTAATTCTGAACTTTTACAGTAAAAATACAGTTACGATAAGTACGGATTTCCTTTCGTTTCTGGGAAACTATCGACAACAATGTAATTCTGGTGTCTGCAGACGTCAAGAAAATCGTAGGGCAAGGGGTTAAGATGCATACAATGACCTATTTATGAAGCTATGTAAAAAACATCTTTTCCCATTAAAAAAAATGAAGTTGACCTTCATACGACCCCTACGAGTCCACTTATTAAAAAACTATTCAAATGAAGTTATGTGCTCCTCGATACACATCTGTCACGTTTTTTTTCTATCACCAGTAACAGCCAAAATATTCAAGTGGCCTGTTTTAGGTGTCTCACCCTGTATATTTATAAAGCTACCGTATTTACGCATTCGATTCATTCAATCTTTTTCCCATTCGGATCCCTTTTCCTTCTGTTAATTATATACTCTACTTATTGCACCTTTTCCAGTTCGTTAATCGAAAATTTACTGTACTATTATATTTCGACTGTTCTATTTCTGTATACTGCCTTTGTCGTCATCCCTCTACGTCCCTTCTTCTTAAGCTCTCTGCCACGTCTCCTTCTATTTTCATCTCTTCCACCCCCACCCTTCTGACTCCAATCATTTCTTCTCAGGTATTCATCCCTCCTTTCTCCGTTTCTGTCTAGATATTATACCTCCATGGATAATACACGCATTCGGCATTCGATTCACTCGAATTGGACGTTTCTATTCCCGCGGCCAGGCCTTCTGACTCGCGATCGAAAACGCTCACGATGTTCGTGTCGGTTCACGAAAGAAATCCAATTTAAAGTTCACTTATATCCAGTCACGGTAGTCACTTGTATCGTCTCGATGGTCCCGCCCTTCGACGAACGTCTGCCAGCCCTTTCCAACCGCGAATTGATCGGCCGCCCAGTTCTTGTTCTTCTTCTTCTTCGGTGGCGTAAGATAAATCAAAGGGTGAAGATAAATTGGAGATGGGGGCAGGCTCGATAACGAACGCTCCGGGAGAAAGATGTTCCCTATCGACGATACCGCTTTTATCCGAAGGCCACGGTTCGAATCGATTTTTTAAAAGGCTGCTGCTCGCGATGTATGGCCTGGCGATCCATTGTCCGAGTAACTGGATCATTGATATTCTTCCAGGTCGACGTTGAAGAATTTTGGGTTTGAAGTCGCGAGGGTGGTAAATGGGGGAGTATCGAACGCCTTCGATTGAATTGTGATCGTCGAGGATTGAACGACTCAGTGGCTTTTATAAATGCCAGTTATCACTTTGCTGGCGGTAGGGTTTTTGTGTTTGAAAATACAGGAAATTCTCGATGAGTGTTCGAAGGTTACTCGACACTGAAGAAGGGAGATCTCCTGGTGTAACGTTGACCTTTTTAATGAGGTTTAGCACAGTGATATTACGATTTGAAAGTGAAGAAATTAGTTAATTCATAAATTTGTAAATTTTCTAAAGTTTCTCAGGTTTATCGACCGATCTTTCTTTTCTAGGTAGAATTTGAAATTGTCGTTTTTTATGTATATGATATACAATTGTTTACAAATTCAATCCTGGGTTTAACTCATTTTTTAAAAATATGACATTGGCACATCTTGCACCAACCCACAGAATATAGTCTTTTATACTAGAATAATAATATATTTTTATATTTATAATAGGTATATGTATTTTTATACTTATAATGTATTTCGATTTTAGAGGTGATAAACCTACGTTCACTCGCCACCAATAGATTCCTTTCAATCCGTTGATTACTTTTCCAGATTGCTTTTCTACGAAATGAAGATACGCTCTCTCGGTTGTTCTCGCGAGAAACAGAAACTACAGAAGTCGTCCGAGGGGGGTGGAGTCGGATGGTAGAAACAATCGAAAGAAGGTAGAGTCGATGGGAAGAAAGAACGAGATTTATAACTGGAAACTTTCGAGAAACGAGTTTATGGAAGTTTCAATCGTCAGATGAAAATTAAGAAGTTAAACTACGACTTCAAAGGTACGCGCGTGCATTGAAGATACTAGGAAAAACAGAATGTATTCTGTGTATTTCCTTCCTGGAATAGTTAAAAGTTGCAAATCTGCTCGGACGAAATTAGAAAATATTTTTTGTTTCGATATTGCACATTTAAATTACTCTTTCTCTAATGTGGTAATCAAACTTTCATCCTGACCACGGATTTCCGTGTTTGCGTGCGATGGATGCTTTGAAGAATCGTTCTTTTTCGTCAGAAATGAAGAAAGTTTCATTCTCATAGTAGACAACGAACGAACGTATATTGTGGTTCGTCCAATTTCGAAAACATTCAATTTCTAAACAGTAACATTTACAACCTTGTAAATGTAATTAATAATAGAACAGTGATCTAAACAACGCCTGTAAAAATCATCATGTATGTAAATATTTGTACCTACTCTTAATAATAAAAACTAAAATAGGCATACAGTGGGTACAAAAAATATTCGTACACCATTTAAAAACAGAACAACTCTTTCAAAATTACACCAAGTGACTTGAGTTTTTTTGTGAAGTTAGAAGGATTAGTTTACTAAATGATGTGTTAAAAAAATTTCGAATTGTTGCCAAATGAGCGCGTTAACAAATAAATCACTTGTTTCTTTAGAATGAAATACGGTTCCATTATACAACAAAAATTTTTTAACCAAGATACAAAAGATTTTTGAATGAAAATATCCCCATTTCCTGTTTATTACTAGTTACCCTCTAACGTATCAAAGAATTCTATTTTTCCCAGTTTCCACCCTCCACTCGACCACACAGGGTGTTCCTCGATGAAACCGACCCAACCACGATGATATATGTTTCGATAATTACGATCGTAAAAAGTCCCAGCAAGTGACAGATAAAGCTGGCTGGACATTTCCCTCGTATCTTTTTTTACCGTGCACGACAAGCCTTAGGCTCTATTCTTGCCGACTGTTTCTTGCCCTGGGGGGGCTAGGGAGAATTGGCAGAATCTCGAGTGGAACGCTTACCCGGATAAAGGAAGAGCCTGGATCCGATGACAGCCAAGGGTCGTCGCTTCCACTGGGGAAAAACCAACCCCTTCAACACCAACGCGTGCCCGCAACGGCTGTACCCGGCCAGATCTGGTAATGGGGATGCGGGTCCTGCAAGAAAAAGATAAAAACATGAAGGGAACTGCGGTGTTCTAATCAACGCGGTGGGGTAAGACGCGATTACCACGATTCTTCGAGAAATGGACCTGATGCTGAGGGGTATACAGACGCGATTTGTCTGGTTTACAAGTTGACTATGGGAATTGTAGTAATAAGATTAAAGTGGTGGTTGTTGAAAAATGTTGAATTTAAAAAAAAACATCGAATTACCTAATAGTTTCCGTTCAACTTGATAAATCTGTTAATTTATCGAATTATAAGGTATTAATAAACATGTTAATTAAAAATAGAATTTATACACTATTGAAATATTCAGTGTCAAAAAATCACTATGGCCGAGTACCGTCACAGGAAATGCAACTCAAAGGATAGAAGCTAAAATTCACCTACAGCCAGAATTTGTTCACACACGCGTTCAAAAGTGACGCGTAAAAGGAGATTAAAATTCGAAATTCCACGGTAACGAGATATTCGAATATTATATCACCTTTGCGCACCAGAGAAATGCCGTTCGCCTATCGATTCGCTGTCATTTTTCAGCAAGCTGTTGCAAGCATTGAAAAATAAAATCCCAGAATTTACGCTGAAATTTCCAAGACGAAGTTGCAGAAATTGATTTCAAATTCACGAAATTGTAATTTTTTACACCCTCTCCCTACCACGAAATATTATATGTGTTGAATTTAGCAACTTTTAGAAATACGGAGCAACGCGAACAATTAAGGGAAACACCACTTTTATAGAGACCTGTACATTTATAACCGTTGGAAAATTCCACGTGACTATATTAAATCAGTGAAATTTCTCTTGTCGGCACGTCCATTAGAAAATATAACGGTCGAATAATTGCCGCGTTAAAACGTGTCTTTGTGGGAGCCACTCGTCGAACACGACGACGACACGACTGAAACGACACATTCATTCGATACGAACATGCGTTTGCGTTAATGCACAGCAGTGGCGTTTCATTCTTGATATTACCGAAATGCATCGTTAAATAACATTTCACGTTCAAAAGCATGGAAATCATTCCTCTCCGCAGAGACTTCATAGGCCACGTGTTCTATTGACAGTAATATGGTTATTTAATATTCTGATGCAGAAATGTTACTCGTTCATGAAGAATTTCAAATTACACCACTGCACGGTGACCGGGTTTCTCTTAAAAATGGGACAAAATGCTAAAAATCGATTTTATCAATTTAATATTTTCTATCAGAAAGTGATCATATAACACTTCTAGGTTTACGGATTTCATAGTAGCATTGCATTAGAATGCATTTTTTAATAATACCAGACATCGAAACCAAACTTTTATGAACGTTACTTTATGAACTACAGTAAATACTCGATGAGTCCCCAGATGTAACAGCTGACTTTTTAATAAGGTATAGTATAGTGATAGAGCTTGGAATTCTTAAGCCAATGATATTTGTTTCAACTGCATATATCCATTTGTTTATGAAATATTTAATGTTCAGTGCTGAGGAGTCTTCGACCACTCATCGAGAATTTACTGTATTATTGTATTTCGACTGTTCTATTGTATTTCTCTATACTGCCTTTGTCGTTATCCCTCTACGTCCCTTCTTATGCTCTCTGCCCTTTTTCTTGCATTTTTATCTCCCCCCCCCCCTTCCTGACTCAAATCATTTCATTTCAGGTTCGTAATTATTGATCGTCCTTGAATAGCATCCCTGTCATTTACCGTCTCAATTTTCGACCGAAACTTCGGACGGTAGTACATCGGGAAAAGTTTCGCTACGATATTACATAGAATTTTCCGGGGACGTCATTCGCACAAGTCCATTCTGTCATATTAAATAACTTGGAAGTTCCAAGAAAAGATTAGACCCAGCAGGTGGATTAACCCAGAAGACTAAGTTTATCTTGCATGATTTTAAACTGGGAAATCATCCGTGCTGCTAAACGTTTCGCGGTGTAAGTAAAAAGTGGAAAATGATTTTTCCAATCATGACTGTAGTTCGTACGTTTTAGGGAATAAAACGGCGACGAAATTAATAACAAGATTACCGATTAAATAATTCGTTTGTTCTAGTATTTCTATAACTAGAGCGCAAGGTGTCCTTCATATGTCGATAAAGAAACAAATTCTGTGCCCCCCTTGATACCACAAGACTTTTCTTTGAAACATTCTTTCACACATATAACCAACAGTTTACAAGTAATTTAGTACTCATCCTGTACACAATATTATTCCAAAACCTTCAATAATTTCACGATTTATATTTGTATTTACTTTGTCTTCGGTAAGTGTCCTAATATTTATGAGTCGGAGTGTACTTCTGCTCTCATCAATTATCCCCAAAAAGTTTCTTTCATTCATCAGTAGTGTCAGTATTTCTTTCTTTTCAGAAAGGAATCCCATTTCTTCTGAAACAGTTTCTTTCATCTATATCTATTCTAAATTTTCATAACCTCGAGACGAAAAATATAATAATATAATAATAATAAAGGCAAAGGATAAACTACTGTACCGAGCTAATGGATCTACCGTATCCGAGCTACCGGCATATTACATCAGAATCTATCGAATAAACATTGACGTTCACGTGGCAAGTGATGCGGCCTCGTGTTTGCTCGCAGATTAACGGAGGTTAATTATCGCGAACCCGACGGGTACACGTTATAATCAGGTCCTCTCTACATGCGAGCCGCTTCCACGTGCATCGTGTCGTGAGAATCCTGCGCTAAAATCTTCTGATCAAAATTTTTTCAATTTTATTAAACGTATCGAAGATTTACTGGCACGTGCCCCATACATTACATAAATATTTTGTACTGTTTTTATGATAGCAGCGCTATCAGTAATAATTAGAAACTCATAATGCAATGCGTGACGTATGTACAGTCCCGTTCATAAATATTAGGATACTTATCTATACGATATTGTTGCAAGTTTAAAGGAAATATTTTTTGTGCGATCTTAACACTAGAACTACCAAACCCATCAAAACGACGGAATTCAATTTTGTTATTTTACAATTTCTGAATTCATAAAAGATGATCAGATGCCCCTTTTTTAAAACGTAAAACTTGTGTAACGAACATTTTTGACTAAAACTTCATTCTTCCAGGTTAATTTGGGGAACTCATCTTTTTGATACACTCTGTACAACAATATACGTAAACTATTGATGTAAAATTGATTTACAAATATCTATAATAACAACTATAATTACCAATAAAATATTGCTTTCGGATTAAATTGACTTGAGCAGTATACAAGGGTTAATAAAAGTGTGCTCGTCCGTTAAGGGTCAATATTCAACGAATATGAATAATTTCTTCCGCACAGTGAACGTAATATCTACGGGAAAACGACATTATATCCACCAATAAATGGTCCCCATCTCCAAAAACTTCGACGATAATTCCGTTAAAACCGGATAAGGTACACGACAAGTTGAATTTCCGGAACAGAAGCGATCGTAGGATGTTTACCTCGCACGAACCAGTTAAGGACCAAGCGAAATTCTGCACGACGCAGGGAGAGCTTGCGAGCCGCCGTTAAACGTAATTTTCGAAATGGACGAAGGGTGTCGTTTACGTCGTGCCGCGTTAGCTCCGTTCCGATTTCCCCCATCGGGTTCCATTTGTCATTACATTAAACTTCCAAACCGTTGCAACTTTCCGCCGAAAATTTACCTGCATATTAGGGCAGCGCCCAGTTTCCGTTTCCCCTAGATATTTATATACCTCGTTAATTATTTAATTCACCTCCGGCGCAAAGTAGCGGCGGTTCGAGCAACCCTCGATTAATATTTCAACCGAACCGTGCGAACGCTTACGATCTCTCTAATAATCGTTTTAAAGCATCGACCACCACGAATTTCAGCCGCAAAACGTTGGCGTTTGGCGAGACTTGTTAACCCACTGACGACCGTAAGCTTAGAGGAGATGGGTCTAAATATGGGCTGGCACTTTCACTTCAGAATTTAGGGTGAATTCAGTAGTGACGCCTTCTTGGTTGAGAGTAATAACTTTTTTAGTTTTGTACTAATTAATACGTTCTTTTTTTTTAATAAAATAATTATACTTGTATACTACATAGTCACGCAAAATCAATACAAATTTTAGAAAATGACAGATCCGCAAGGTAACGTCTCTCCCAAATTTTGTAGGAGAAATGTCACACTTATAGGGTCAGATGTTACATGCTCTAACTTTCCTTTCTTATATTTTTTTTTTCTCTTATATTCCCTCTCCCATAGTTGGTGGAACCATTTCTGGCACGAGCAGTACACTGCAGTATACTGTGCAAAAAATGGTACAAAGTATAACATATGTTGATTATTACTTTTTTTGAAAAATAAAACATTTTCAATTTTTTCCAAGGTATTCATTTTTCCTTAAGAAGAAAGGTTTCTTTTAATTCACGTAGAGATTCCAAAATTTTGGCCGCTGCTAATTAAGTTAAATGGTACAAAGTATAACATATGATGATTATTACTTTTTTTGAAAAATAAAACATTTTCAATTTTTGTTAAAGTATTCATTTTTCCTTAAGAAGAAAGGTTTCTTTTAATTCACGTAGAGATTCCAAACTTTAGGCAGGTGGTGTAAGTACATGTCCTAGTGCCATAAAACGTTCCCCAAAAACGGCAAAGTCCAAGAGCATCGTAACGTGAGCTCGAAACTCATTGGTCCTTAACAAGACTGTAGGATCGAAAAATGTTTTAATTAAATCTCGGGGTACCGTGAAGTTCTAATAACCCCTCGGCCCTCTTTGCTCGACCGTTACCATTTTAAATGGCACCGTTCGCGGCGGTAGACCACGCTCGCTTTTGAATATTAATTCGATATTATTCGATATGGTCGAAAACGTAACGTATCGGATCCGATATTCTGCAGTGGCGCGGGATTAAGAACGTAAGTCAGGCGACAGAAGTTTTTAACAGGACCAGTTTGAAGTTTCAGAAATATTACTGTAAAACGGTTTTTCGCGCTGCGCGCTGTTGCCGGCCAAG